CTTAGAGCCACCAAGGAACTAGAAATGATGACTGGAGAAGATGAGTCGGATCCTTGCTTTTAACAACCTTTATGAACCCCTCATAAACCCCCCCCCCCCCTCATAAGATCCTTTCTCTCTCTCCCAAGCTCTCTCTCTCTCCTTCTCTTGGCTCTCTCAAGTCAGGACATCAGTAAAAGATCTCAACATCAATAATCAAGATATTTATATAGAAGGGCTTAACATTTACCCTAATTTGTAACTTTCCATCAAAGATCGTCCATAGATCGTTCTGTATGAGTAGTGTATTTTCATCCCTTTCAACCAGGACAAACTAGGAGAGCTAGACGATTAGAAGCCTTATTTGTTTTGATCGTCCAGGACAATGTGGACATCATCTTGTACAATTAGTTCAAAACCATACATATCATCTAGCACATCATTCTAGTTTTCTAAAAGATATATTTTTGATGATAAAGAAATATAACATATCGTCCAGGACGATTCTTAAATTATCTCATATTATTAGTTCAAAATTAGGGATTATCATCCAGTACATCATTTTGGTAATCAAAGTGATACACCTGGACGATGGAGAATTTCAACTGATTGTTTAGCATATCATTCTAGTCATTTAGGTAATCCAGGGAAAGACTAAGGTTTTCCTAACTAATAGTCCAAGATGATCCAGTGATCGTCCAGGATGATATTATCGATTAATCTAACCTTATTATTTTCCTTAATCACCTAACTAATTTAAGTATGATTGAAATGAATCATCTAGGATTATATAGGATTGTCCTGTATAATTTCTAAAAAAAATATCATACCTAAAGATTTTGGCGATTGATTCTTTCTAATTTGAGCATATCATCCAGGATGATTTACTTAATTAGATTGTCTTAACACAGATGCCCTAATAAGGGTTTTTATTTTTAATTAATCGTCTAGGATGATTTTTGGATTGTCATGTATGATATGATCAAAAATAGAAAAACTATTAAGTCTACAAAATTTCTCCCACTAAGAGTGTGTATGCAAGGTTACTTAGCATTAGGATTAAAATTATTATATTTGACTCAAGAAAAGATAAAAACACTAGAATTACACTTATAAACTTACTTAGTCCTAATCTACCCAATTTTGAACTAGCTTGAATTGCAATTGATCTTATGGACCTAAAATGTTAGTTGGAAGGGCAATCAAAAAAGATGTATAATAGTAAGAGTAGTAAGAAAACAATCATCAAAATTATAATCCTTGAATCCAAGTTTACAACATTGCCAACCTATAAGCTTTTTTCAAGAAATAGCAAAAGAAAATGATCTTTTCTAGATATTTTATTTAGTTTTTTATAGTCAATTAAAATCCTCCAATCTATGGCAATTCTAGTGGGAATTAATTCATTATGTTCATTGAACATAATAGTCAATCATCCCTTCTTAGGAACAAATGAATGGTACTAACCCATGAACTATAAAATATTGCATAGATAATCTTGTAACTAACAATTTAAGAATCTCTTTTTAAACAACATCTTTCATGGAAGGATTAAGTCTTCTTTGAGGATGAACTTTATATTGAGATTGTTATAACTTAGTTTTTTTGCTGTTCAGATTCATGCAACATGTATGTTTTTTATGATTCTAAATATTATTATTTTTAATTACAGTTTCTCCTAACATATTTTGGATGTATTGCTTTTATTTTTTGTGTGCACTAATATTTTAGGCAAATCATACTTCAGATTATTGAAGATTTCAAATCAAAATAGATTAGGATTCATTATAAATAGAGTCTATATTTTTTATTTTAATGAGTCTGAGAGAGTATGATTGTAATTGAGTGATTGTGCACACACACACATTGGGGAGTGTTTAAAATTTGTAATTTTTAAACTGATCATATTGTACAAAGTTATTTTATACGGGATGATTTATTTAGTTATTTTTTCCTACGAGCAGTTAAATGAATTATAGGTACAAAATGTTTCTAAGTACTGATGGTACTGTATGAAGGTTTCTTCATGCAAACGACATCAAAAGTACAAATTGGATGGGTCCCTTTTAGTCCCGACGAAATTAAAAAAATTTTGAATGGATTGTATTGTATGATGCCTTGTTAGTATATATGATGTCTAGAGTACGAATTGGACAAGTCCCTTTTCGTCCTGAAGAACTTGAAAATTTTCTAAACATATCATATTATATGATACCTTATTCGTATAGAATACATCCAGATTACAAATTAGACGGATCCCTTTTCATTCTGACAAACTTGAAAATTTTTTGAACGGATCGTACTATATGATGCCTTGTTCATACAAACAACTTCCAGAGTATGAATTTGATGGTTCCCTTTTCATCCTGATGAATGCCAAATTTTGTTGAATGTGTCATACTGTATGATTTCCCATTCGTACAAATGACGTCCTGAGTACAAAAATGTTGGGTACCTTTTCGTTCCAACAACATTGAAAATTTTTCTAACTATTCATATAGTATGAACTTGATTTATACTGGATGATCATAGTGTAAAAAAATATTTCATATAGATTCACAAAAGGTTAGTATACAATTGTTTTTAAACTATAAATACGTACAAAAATACGATCGTACTGTATGATCGTATTCGCTCTAAATGGAAAATTTCAGTTTTCTAGATGGTTTTTTATGTCTTTCATATAAAAGGTCCTTAGAAACTAACGTAAAAAGTATTGTTCTTCATAATTTTTCAAGAGCAAGTGAAAGAGTGTATTTGAGAGAGTGTTTGAGAGAGATTTCCTACAAGTAGAGTGTGAAGGATTCATAAGGTTACTCAAAGGTAAGGATCTCTTTGTGTTTTTGGTTACTTCTCTTCTTTTCTTCTTTCTAGCTGCTCGAGAGAAGATCTTTGAAGAATATCTGATACTCTACTGACACTTGGAGATTGTGAAAGGATGACGGTACTCTGCTAACACTTGGAGGGTATGAAAGTATGACGGTTCTCTACCGACACTTAGAGAGTGTGAACAGATGACCGTTCTCTATCGACACTAGGAGAGTGTGAAAGGATGATGATTCTCTGCCGCACCGGGGATTGGTGGAAGATATGAATTATAAAGGCTTCTCCACCTTATTGTAGGGGTAAAAGGAGAATCACTTTGGTAATAGTGCAATACCTGAAGATGGAGTCTTCAGGGAGTGGATGTAGGTCGTGTTTGACCGAACCACTATAAATCTCTCTCATTTTATTTTCTGCTTTTTTATTTTTTGTAATTTTATTATTGTGGTTTAAAAGCTTATTATTAATTCCATTAATGTCAGCAATAGTCCACCTAAAAGCTTTTTTAATGTTACTTAAAAACTTAATCAATTCAATCTCTTGATGTTATTCTAGACTTGTATAAATGATTATAGAAAGAATGAGATTTTTTCCCAAATATGTATACTTAAGATGATAAGCTAAAGCTTTAAGTTCTAAAGTAGGGTCCTCTTTAATATATGGTTACAAAGTTTTATCAAAAGATGAAGTTTCCACCAATTCAAAATGTCCTTTGTTCCAACTTTCTTTTCTAGATTTTATTTCAATGAGCCCATTAGATATAGTTTGTTCTTGCTCGTCTTCTTCTTCCTCAATCACTTCTCATTCCAACAATTTTTCTTTGAGATCTTCTACTAATAGATCCTCCAAATCAACCCTAAAGAAATCTTCATCCCTTTCTTGAAAGAATTTTATATATTTCAATACATCAATTATCATCCCCTGGTCTTGAACTCTCATAAATAATTTTCTCTTTTAGATATCAATCATAAATTTCCTTGTTGCTAAGAAAGGTCTTTCTAAAATGAGAGGTATTTCTCTATCTTCTTCTATGTCTAAAATAATAAAATCAATAAGGAAAATGAACTTATCAACCTTGATTAGAGAATCCTCAATTACTTCTTTTGGTAAAGTAAATGATCTATCATCTAATTAAAGAGTTATAGAAGTAGGTTGAATCTCTTCTACTAACCTCTTAAAGAAGGATAGAGGCATGAGGTTAATACAAAATCCTAAAGCACATAAAGCTCTCCCATATAATTTATCTCCAATAGTTAAGGGGATGATAAAACTCCCAAGATCCATAAAATTTTTAAGAAATTTCTTTTGTAAAATGGCACTACATTCTTCAATTAATGCTAATGCTTCATAATAATAAATTTTATTTCTTACTCAAAATATCTTTCATGAAATTTGTATAAGTGGGCATTTGTTCTAAAGCTTTAGAGAAGGAGATAATAATAGTTAATTTTTTAGACACTTCTAAGAACTTTGAGAATAGTTAGTTAGTATTTCTTTTGATCAACCTCTTCGGGAAAGGATGTGGTGGTCTCTCAACAACTTTTTTATAAACCTTTTTAGGTTCTTTAATAGGTTCAAGTTGTTCAAAAGGGGTCTTATTTTCTTGGAGTTTCTATATATCATCCTTATCATTGGGTTGGTCTTTCTCTTTATAAGGGTCTCCTAACCCTTTCTAACTTCTAACTTGGATATTATGACATTATTCTACCAAATTTTGATAATGAATTAACATATCCAATTGCCCTATTGGATCTTCGATTTCTTTAAGAGCATTAGATTAATTATTCATTTGCATTCCTAACATGAGTATAATATTTTTCAAGAATTCCTTCTTATTCCTTTCATATTGTATTTGTTCAAATTTTGTGGGGTAGCATTGTGATGTAACATATCTTGGTGCAGTGGCGCTATATCTCTTAATATCACTATTAACCTTTAATTTATCAAATTTCTTAGAAATATCAATAACCTGAGTAGTCAAAATGGATAAAAAATCATTTTTATAGACTCTTGCCACTTTTCTAAGATTCATTGTATCAACAGGACACTAAAAATTATTTATTACCATTTTCTTAATTAATTCACAAGCATCCTCAAAAGGCATTAACATCAAAGAACCTCCAACTGCAGCATCAATTATAGCTCTAAGAGATCCTACCAATCTATTGTAAGAAGTTTGAATTATTAACCAATCAAGTAAGACGTGGTGAGGGCACTTTTTAAGAAACCCCTTGAATCTCTCTCAACTCTCACGAATAGATTCTCCTTCTAACTAAATAAAAGTAGTAATATCATTTCTTAGTTTGACAGTTTTATAAGGTGGGAAATACTTTTCTAAAAATTTACGGGTCAACTCATTACATATGGTAATAGAGCTTGGGGGTAAAGAATTTAACCATATTGTTTCTTGTGTCTTAGAGAAAATGGGAATAATTTAAGTCTAATGGCATCATCATTAATACCATTATACTTAAATATTGCATAAATTTCTAAGAAATTTATTAAATATAGGTTAGAATCTTCAATGGGAGTCCCTCCAAAGTGAGAATTTTGTACCAACGGAATGATTATAGGTTTTAATTCAAAGTTATTAGCTTGGATGGCAAACCAATTATGCTCTGATGAATTCAGTCTATCGTAGGAATGCAAAAACCTTAAGAGGTCAGAAATGATCTAAAACCTAAACAAGGCCAACCATTTTCAAAATTGTTTTGATGGTTCAAATTTTAGAAAAGGTTCTCTCAATTTTTGAATCAAAATATAGCAATGATTCCTTTCTTTGGCTTCTAAGCACGCAACCATAATTGTGCAATCAGTAAAATAAAAAAAAAATAAAAGAATATAGTAGGACTAATTTTACAATTAATTCAACAAGATAGTAAAATTGTAACTAAAACAAAATCTTCTCTGGCAAAGTCACCAAAAACATGAGGGGGCAGTGGAGTAAATAAAGAATTAAAAAAATAATTTAGATCTCTATCAATTCCTAAATAATGCTTAAGTTTTTATATAAAAATTAGAAAACTACCATTTAATATACATAAGTATACATGTCAAATCAAGTAATATAGTGTAGTAGAGTATCGATCTCAAGAGGAAGAACATTTACTTGAAAATACTAGTATTATCAACTATAATTACAATAATTATATTACTCAATAAAAACAAGTTTTGACAAAGATTCAATCACTTAATTTTAAAAAAAAATGAAACACTATTTGAATAAAATATTTTGGATTGATGGAATATCAACACAATATATTTCACAATGATTCTCTTTTATATTATTATTATTTAGAGCATATGCATCACCGACCACTCATTCAAGTGTGAAGAAATAAAGAAAAGATTAAACAATCAAACCTCAATACCACTCTAATCTCTCATAGTTTGTCACCCAATAATAATCGTAGAAGAGTAAGTAAAGTATGTTCTATTAAATAGAGCTAGGCTTTACAGCACTAAAAATTGGCGACTATAAAAATAGGCATCGCGACGCTGTGCAAACAGAGACTAGGTTTTGCAACGCTGACTCCTTCGATGTCGCGGCACTGTCAAAAGAGACTGGGTTCCATCATGTCCATGTTGGGTGCTTCGGCAATCAATGATGGCACCATGGTGATATAGTGTTCGACGAAGTGGCGTTGTATGATACTTGGAATGTTATTATTTTCTCATTTTTTTCTACACAACACAACTAAAACAACACAAATTTTAAATAATCTTAACTAATGATATTTAGCTCATTATATATATATATATATATGTTATTGTCTAAATGAGCCTTAAAAATAGAAAAAACCAAAGTTTTTATTCTTCAGTCACAAAAATGTTTTTTTTTTCTCTCTCCTCATTTTCGTATTTTCATTTTCTCTCTCCTCCGTGGCCAGAAGAAAGACAAAAAAACTATGGGTGTTTAGTCCCACACCGTTTGGAGTGGAAGGATTTTGCTTTATAAAAATAAATACATATGCTGCTCATCCACTAAAAAGCGGGCGATGGACGGACGGGCTTGGTGGGCTAAATAGCAATGAGCTAATTTAATTTAAATAAATAAACATATTTTGTGATTTGCTTGGCTCGTTTAACGAGCCACTCGATAAGAGGCTCAACAAGTTCAAAATTAAACGAGTTCAAACCTGAACACGACACGAGCTCGAACAAGGGGTTTAAACAAGCTCGAGCTCGAAGTCAAAGATGCTCGAGAGCTTTAATTCGAGCTTGTGCTTGGTTTAGACAAATGAGCTTGAACTCGAATAGACCGAAGCTCGGCTCGTCTCGCCTCAGTTCGCTTGCAGCCCTAACATAAATCTAGGAATGCATATGCTTTTATCCACATAAATAATTAAGAGTCATATTAGGAAACCTTTGTTATTTTATAGGTATAGGAAACCTTTGTTATTTTATAGGTATTAGTCCAAAACAACATAAATAATTAAGAGTCATATTAGGAAACCTTTGTTATTTTATAGGTATAGGAAACCTTTGTTATTTTATAATTGGTATCACGTCATCTCTTACATTATTAAGAGTCATATTAGGAAACCTTTGTTATTTTATAGGTATAGGAAACCTTTGTTATTTTATAGGTATAGGAAACCTTTGTTATTTTATAGGTATTAGTCCAAAACAACATAAATAATTAAGAGTCATATTAGGAAACCTTTGTTATTTTATAGGTATTAGTCCAAAACAACATAAATAATTAAGAGTCATATTAGGAAACCTTTGTTATTTTATAGGTATTAGTCCAAAACAACATAAATAATTAAGAGTCATATTAGGAAACCTTTGTTATTTTATAGGTATAGGAAACCTTTGTTATTTTATAGGTATAGGAAACCTTTGTTATTTTATAGGTATAGGAAACCTTTGTTATTTTATAGGTATAGGAAACCTTTGTTATTTTATAGGTATAGGAAACCTTTGTTATTTTATAGGTATAGGAAACCTTTGTTATTTTATAGGTATTAGTCCAAAACAACATAAATAATTAAGAGTCATATTAGGAAACCTTTGTTATTTTATAGGTATTAGTCCAAAACAACATAAATAATTAAGAGTCATATTAGGAAACCTTTGTTATTTTATAGGTATTAGTCCAAAACAACATAAATAATTAAGAGTCATATTAGGAAACCTTTGTTATTTTATAGGTATAGGAAACCTTTGTTATTTTATAGGTATAGGAAACCTTTGTTATTTTATAGGTATAGGAAACCTTTGTTATTTTATAGGTATAGGAAACCTTTGTTATTTTATAGGTATAGGAAACCTTTGTTATTTTATAGGTATAGGAAACCTTTGTTATTTTATAGGTATTAGTCCAAAACAACATAAATAATTAAGAGTCATATTAGGAAACCTTTGTTATTTTATAGGTATTAGTCCAAAACAACATAAATAATTAAGAGTCATATTAGGAAACCTTTGTTATTTTATAGGTATTAGTCCAAAACAACATAAATAATTAAGAGTCATATTAGGAAACCTTTGTTATTTTATAGGTATAGGAAACCTTTGTTATTTTATAGGTATAGGAAACCTTTGTTATTTTATAGGTATAGGAAACCTTTGTTATTTTATAGGTATAGGAAACCTTTGTTATTTTATAGGTATAGGAAACCTTTGTTATTTTATAGGTATAGGAAACCTTTGTTATTTTATAGGTATTAGTCCAAAACAACATAAATAATTAAGAGTCATATTAGGAAACCTTTGTTATTTTATAGGTATTAGTCCAAAACAACATAAATAATTAAGAGTCATATTAGGAAACCTTTGTTATTTTATAGGTATTAGTCCAAAACAACATAAATAATTAAGAGTCATATTAGGAAACCTTTGTTATTTTATAGGTATAGGAAACCTTTGTTATTTTATAGGTATAGGAAACCTTTGTTATTTTATAGGTATAGGAAACCTTTGTTATTTTATAGGTATAGGAAACCTTTGTTATTTTATAGGTATAGGAAACCTTTGTTATTTTATAGGTATAGGAAACCTTTGTTATTTTATAGGTATTAAAACTAAAGATATACAAAATAAAGATGTAATTAAACTTCTTAAATAACCTTTTATCAAGCTTTTTCATGAACTTTAATTGATATTGTTATTGAGCATAAACAAATCGAACATAAAAGTGATCATACTTATTTATTTAATAGTCAAGTATTTTAAAAATTATTTATCGAGCTTTTTCATGAACTTTAATTGATATTGTTATTGAGCATAAACAAATCGAACATAAAAGTGATCATACTTATTTATTTAATAGTCAAGTATTTTAAAAATTATTCAAACTAATTTAATTACTATGAAAGAATTTTAATCGAGTCAAGCCATGAGTAATTTATAGAATGCTCGATTCATTTGCAACCCAAATTTTGAGACACTTGGGCAATCAAAATAGTCTCAATATAAATCCGATCTAAGTAGGCTTGCTAGATAATTAACTTCAACTTGAACTTAGAGCCAAAAAGAGTTTAGTATTGTATGCTAAAATTACTAACAAAATAAATAATGAGAGATAATTAAAATAAAAAACTATTCTCATTTTAAATTGGTCACGCCTAACCTTATGAGTCTCAATATATTCAATGATCAAGGCATCAAATTTCGACCCAAAAAAACATACAACAACATAAAAATTCATCATACATATCTTGGCATAAAAGAAGATAGAAAAACTAACTAGTTTAATTAAAAATAAAACTATTACAGTAATAAAATTATAATATTCAAATTACCCTTAAATAGGTTGATAAACTAGTAAATTCCTTTAACATATAACGTCTACTAGCCTTCCAAAACTACTCCGATATGCATGTCTCCCGCTAGTTCAAAGATCAAAGCTCCGCGCAAATGCAGCAAAGCATTTATGAGGCAGAGAAAAGCAATTTCAAAAATACGAGAGGCACGGGCGTGGAAGCAAACACTCGACAAAGGTAAATACATACATCAATCAGCACTCAGAACATAAGAATTTTCTTAAATGTAGAGAGTTCAATTCATTAAAAGGAAATTTCATATATTTATCCTTGAAATCAGTTCAATGAATCACCATTTCTCACAAGTGAGATCTGATGTGCAAATATTCCCCTAAGAATTTGGTTAAAAAAGATCAAATTACCCCATTAACTCTGTTGCATAGGGGCATTTGTATGGCCATGCCTCTCCATTACCCTTCTAGTGGCAAGGGCTGCAGCCTCGCTAGCACGCAAAGTTCCTGTGGCCATGATTGCAGCAAACTCTCTTGTGATTTCTTCTTGAACCCTGCTCCTGGCTTCACCAAGAGGGTCTGCACATGAAGGCTTCTTCTCCTCATCTGTAGATTTTTTTGCCGTGGTTTTGGCAACGGCGCCAGTTTGTTCTGGCTTTTTTTCTGGATTTGGAATTGCTGCAGCAACTGGTTTAACTGGGTTTGAAGCAGTAGCCCTTACAACAGGAGACTGCTGTGCCTTTAGATTAGGGGAAACGAACTGTGGAGCTTGAGGAACAGCACCAGATCTCATTGTAGTTTCTAGTTGCTGGATCATGGGCACTGCAAAAAAAAAAAAAAAACAAGCGATGAGAAAATAAAGTTAATATGAGCATCATAAGGTATAGTATGCAACTCCATTAAACATACAGATTAGTGGTGCCATTGGGCTGTTCATGACATCGTTAGGGAGTTGGAGGATGTAGTCAGGAATGGAGGTCCCAACTAAGAACTGCGCAACTTCATTGCTGAAGTTATTGCAGTTGTGGCTGAGGAGCCTGTAGGTCTCTGCAGTATAACGAGAACTTATTTCCTTCAAATAATCCTCAAAAATCTCCTTAGGTACGTGGGTTACCCCTAGCTCCACCGAACGGAGGGGAACTCCATATGGAGTCCTACCAACAGGATCATGCTGGATGCCTGCTCCAAAGTAGTATTCGTTCCCATAAACAACTATGCCAGTGTGCCTGCAATCATTCATGTAAGTCAGAGCTGAGATAACATATTTTAATTTGAGGCAAGACTCGGATGTAATTAGTTGTAGTACACCGTCTGCAAAAATTTACGGGAAACTCGATTTTTAAACCATTCCATATATGCTACAGGATAATTAATTAAGAAAATTACAGTTGTATACTTTAATTGATTGCAGTGGTAAATAATCATATGGTTCAGGTCCAAAACCAATCTCGAAAGTTGATTCTTTACGGGAAAAAAATAAGCATAATCTGGAAAGGAGAAGCCTAGTACATAGAAACTAGAAAGTTGAGGCCTGCTCCTTTCTATACAAATAGCTACACAGCTCATCTTGTCTTGTTGGTTGAGAGCTTAGGCTTCCAACTAAGAGGACTTGGATTCGAGTCTTTGTGTATGCGTTATGTGTATGAGTTTGCCTTAAATAACCTAAATGTCCCAAAAAAAAAAAATATACAAATAGCTGAACCTAAGTGCACGGAGCCAGTAGTCAACAGTCATAACTAACTGTATTGCCCATGTAACCATGAGCGGAATCACGTTGTGCTAAGGATGGTCAGTTGGGAAAAAATTCGGAAATTTACCCCACTAAAAAATTTAGTTTGCCCTATATTCCCCCCACTGGCTCGCTCTCACCATTCCCTTGCTAGCTGCACCACACAAAGTCACGCTGGTGGAGCTGCTTCACCACTGCAATGCTCCGCCTCCTCCTCATGGCGCTGCTCCCGTGCTCTGCCTCCTACTCACGAACCCTCACCTCACACCACTGCTTTTGCTTCCTATGCTCCGTCTACTGACATAGGAAATCAAACTTTTTTTGGCGTTATCTTCTTTAATGAAGTATCAATTGCTCCTATGCTCTCTCCTCGTTCTTCAGATGGAAATGGGAATCTATGGGTTCCTACAAGTAATATTCTTTCTAGTGATTTGCTTTTGTAGATTGCAATTTGCTACTTGCAGATTCTAAGATATTTTTATAATTTCTTTTATCATTTCATCTCATAAGAAAAACTGTCAAGATAAGGATTAATGTGAATAGTAGATATTTGCTTCAGTTTTTAAACAATTGACTTAATACCTAGCAATAACATAGCTTGATAATATAGTAATAAACACTCTCTAAATCCAGAAATCTTTATCAGCAAAAAAGTACTATTTAAAAAAATTACAAATTGCACCAATAATGTATCATCAAAGCACATGATTTGATATCCATCATTGATTTAGATTTGTTGATACTTTGCACATCAGATCATCTACTCTTATATTTAAATATGTTATACTTTAGTCTATTTTATAGATTGCTTGTCTTATGCTTAAATAATATAAAATAAATTACATATATTTATAAAAAATTCAATTGAGTATTGAGCATCAGAGAGGAAAAAATTACAGGGTCACTAAAAATGGTGCCCGAAGTATCAAACTTGAATAACTATACTATTGAAGGATTTCATCGGTGGAGAGCCCGCATGCCATTCCAAGGCTCAAGTAAGATAGATCTTGCTCAAATAAAATAGATCTAGCACAAGCCATGCATTATCAATCTTTAATTAATGCACATATGTTATCTTAGAATAAAGAGGAAAAAGAGGTCAGCTAAAACAAAAGACTAAAAGTTGCACAAAAATATACATGCAAAAGAGTTAAAAACTCATGTAACACTCAATAAAATGATTGAAAGAGTACAGATTCAAAAAATAAAAATAAATATAAAAATAAAAACTAACCCAAATAAATAGGATAAAGTTAATAATGAAAATCACTTTGAAATCTCAACAATTAAAATCATGTTTTCATTCCCATGATTGCAGTGGTCAACAATTCATATGGTTCAGGTCCAAAAATAATCATTGTCAAAATTTGCTTGGAATATAGATGCTAATCCTCATGCCACATTAACATCATCATTATACATCTCCCAATTATTTTGGATGGCTCTATCAAAGATTATTTTTCATACGTTAAGATTGAATGTTGCCTAAATAGTATAATATATTCTTTGCAAGTAATTTTAAACAACTTATATCTGTATAACCTTAAGTCTTATCCCCTTTCTCCTTTCTAACCCTTTGACATTAATTTTAATTATTTCTCGAATGAGTGCATTTTCTATCAAAAATTATATTTTTACAAATCATCTAGATCAATTCAATTATTTTATCTTCAATAGAGCCACTCAGATTGTTCCAATAATACAATCATCACTTAATTCATTCATCCTATATTAATTTACTTAGATATCATACAACATCATTGGAATAATAATTTTATAAATTTATATTAAAGTCTTAAAAATATATTCTAATCACTTATACTCCTAAAATGCTTCTCCATTTGAACCATCCAGACTTACTTTTTAATATGATAATATCATTCATATATATCTTTATTCTTTTAAACAATAAATAAATAATACTTAAATCTATCGCACAAAAGTATCATCTTACATTCTATTGATACTAATTGAAAATCATAAATATCACACCAACTAAAATAATATATCATACACCTAATGATTGTTTTACTAACTCTCTACGTCATTTTGTCTTATAAATATATTCTCTATTATTCTAATTTCTCACATCATCTAATAGACATGTCACCAATTAAAACTACATCATCAATAAAAAATATTAACTAGCAAACCTCATTTTACATAGCTTTCATAAACATGTCTCCAATTAAAACTATATCATCAATAAAAAAAATATGCACAAGCAAATGTCATTTTACATATCTTTTGTAAACATCTCTATAACTAATATACAAAAATATAAGCTCAATGAAATTAAGATTATTTCAAAAGATGCACTTGAAGTATTAAAAGAAAAGCTCCTAATAATAAAAATAGTTAATGATAGAATCAAAATGTGCAAGAAAAGATAAAAAAATAAGAAAGTTTGTTATAAAAATTGATTTAAATGTAAAAACCCAAAAAATTAGAAAGAAATAAAGAAGCACGTATGAAGTCTAATGATATTCCAATAGAGGGTTAAAATGCTTAAGAAATAAAAGAATTTCTTTACTTTTTGAACTTTTTAATATTATTTTGAATGCTAAAAAGATGCTAAAAAAGTAGAGTATGTCGATTCATATTTTAAAGAATAAATGTGACGCACAAGAGCGTGTGAATTATAAAGAAATTAAGTTAATGTGTCATAACTTAAAACCTAGGTAGAGAGTTATTGAGCATAAGCTTACATCGTGAAGCTAATGTTTCTCAAAATCAATTTGGATTAATGCCAAATAGGTCTACTATGGATGCTATACATTTATTGAAATGTTTGAAGGAGAAGTATATGGAGAATAAGAAGGATCTATATTATGAAATTTATTGATTTAAAGAAATCTTATGATAAAATTCCAAAAGAAGAGTAATAAAGAGTTGTAGAAAAGAAAGAGACTAATAATGTTTATACTCAGGTCATTAAGAATATGTATTCAAGATCTATTACTTGTGTTCAAACAAAAGGAGTTTGGACCAAATATTTTCCTATTTCAGATGGATTACATCAAGGATCAACTTTAAGCCCATAGACTTTTGCTTTAGTCATGGATGCTCTTACTAGAAATTTGCAGGAGGATGTACCATGATGTATGCTTTATGTTGATGATATTCTTCTTATTAGTAAGACTAGAGAGGGAGTTATAATGTTTGATGCAAACTAGAGAGAAGATAAAATTGAATTATGAAGGTTAACCTTAAATTCTAAAGATTTTCGTTTAAGTAGATCCAAAACTGAATATATAGAGTGTAATTTTAGTAGTAACATATCTAATGGGACATTGTGATTTTGGGCGATCAAGTCTACATTTTAGATATCTCGAGTCTATATTTCAAAATGATGGTGAAATAAATGGGAATATTATTAGTGGAATTCAAGTTGGATAGTTGAAGTGGAGGAATTTATAAGATCTAGTGTGTGATAGAAAAGTACTCCTCAAACTTAAAGATAAATTATATAAGATGGTGGTGAGACTTACAATGCTTTATGACGTAGAATGTTGACCATTAAAAGAGAAGTATACAATTAAATTAAGTGTTGTAGAGATGAGGACACTCAAGTGAATGCGTGATTTTACACTTAGAGATAGAATGCGAAACGAGCATATACATGAAAAGGTTGGAGTAGCTCCAATGGAAGATAAGATTAGAGTGAGTCACCTTAGATGATTTGTTCACATAAAACATCAATCTTCTAATGACCCATTTAGGAGAGTAAATATGTTAAATTTGATATATGTTAAGAGAGGTAAAGATAGACCTAAATTAAATTTAAAAATATTAAAAAATGATTTTTTTATTAAATTTAAATTATAATTTGACTCTTAAAAGCAACGAAATGGAGAAATATGATTCAAGTAGCCAACGCCACGTATTGGGATAAAAGCTTGATGTTATTGCTTTGTTGTTGTTGTTGTAATGTTTGATGCAAACTTATTGTATCACTATAAATCTTATATAAGTTAGATCTCAATCATAACATCTTTAATACCATTGACACACCTTCATACCTAAATGTGCATCAAATTAATTCTTGTGATACTTAATCATATGCCTTCTCAAGATTAATAAAAGTAAAAAATGAGCTACATTATTTTTAGCTTTCATATTCGATCAACCAAACACGAAATCAAATTAATTCTTTCATCATAATATAATTCAATTGTGATTGTACTAATTGTGAGTGTATTTTAATTTTTCTAATCCTCAAGCACATATAAATAAACCTGACAGTCAAGCAAAAGTTCAAAAATCATATTGTGTTAACTATTAAACTGTAAATTGTCCTGATTGCAAGTCTATCGACTAATCAAGAAATGTTGTTCTACTAATAGCAACTATTACTATGATTAGTATCATTACTGTTATTACAATTAGTAATCCTCTAAGGACACTCAAGTGCGAATACAACAAAACCATAAAATTATAATTATGATGAAAAAGTGCACTTTAAAAATACACAAAAATTGCATTGTTGTTTGGGTTAAATACAAAAATTGCACTTCACCCCTTAAGGCATTGACTAAATATTGAAGTAATATGTCAAATTGTTCAACCATAAGGGAGTTATGTGCACATGTTTAAAATATAAGGTGGTGAAGTGTAAATGAGCCAATCAAAAGAGTGTAAAGTGCATTTTGTCCTAATTATTATTTGCAAAGGCTCCTTTGGTTCAGATTAAATTTACAATCTTTTATTAAAATTAAGATGGTAATTTGTTGTCCTCCTAATACTTATTGATGGGAATGAAGGCATTAATTCCCCTTGCTTCTAATCTAAAATATTAGAAAAGAGGAAAAAACTGCCAAACTTTCAAAGTTCAATGTTTTATACACAAAACTTGATATTCAGTTTGCGATTAGATTGAATAATGGAAAAGTTAGAAGAATCCAAAACCCCTTATAAATAATAAAACTCCAGAGATTGAAGAATTGTAGCAAATACAAACATATTCCTAGGATAAAAAAGGAGCATCTTCTTAAAATTTGAATTCATAGATAAAATTATAAATTAGGTTCTTTACAGAAAAGATAACACAAATAATGGACAATATACTGCACTTGTGCACTTAATTTGCTAATTTTTCCATCAATTACTAAATCTAAAAAGAAGATAACAGAAACTTAAGCCATTCTATTCAAAAGAGCAGTGAAGAAAAGATTGTTCAGAAGGATCAATCTCCAAAAAACAAAAAAAGGACAGAACCATCCAACATGAATAAGCGTAATTTAGCTTCGGCCCATGGATTAATTAAGATAAGAATCAGTGCACAAGGAAGCAGCGCACAAATTGATAATTTTCTAAGTGAGTTATTTACTGAAGGTAATGCATTTAATTTTTAAAAGTTGCCCAGATAATTTACATAGTGTAATTTTCATTTAAGCATGCGCATTTACTCATGAATAACGCATTTCAACAAATAATCACAAAAGTTTATGTTGGCATTGATAAAACGACAGAAATGAGGAATTTTAGATAAAAAAATGTTATGCATTCAACTACCCACCATATGGCTTCAATAGACTTGCCGAGAAAAGCGACTGAAAGCTGGCGAGCAAGCCCTTGGCTCAAGTCGTAAATATTTAACTTGACCTTCTGACCCTCCTGTTTATAAAGTTGAGAACATGCCATCAGCAAAATCATACAGAAGAAACAAAAAAGTAAAACAGAAGAAAGAGAACAGAGAGAAATAAGCAATCGCTATTATACCTCCGCCATAAATTTCCTTGAATCTTCTACAAACTATTATCGAACGCAACCTAGAAAAGAAAATATTTCTTTCAGATCTAAGCTAGATTATGAATAAAATTATCACGCAGATGTTACGAGTGCATAACCAAGAAGGCATAATGAAATTTCAAATCAAACAAACGGTATTCCACCCAAAAATATGTCAACATGAACAAATATATTGGAAAAAGGAAATCCCCAATTCTAAGATCAAATGAATATAAACTAACCCAAAGTCTATCAAATCCAAAGAACAAGAAGAAGAAGAAGAACAGATTCGAAAAGAACAATTACCTAAGAGAAGGAAAGATTAGACACAGATGTTAAAGCAAGAGATGAACCAGAGACGAGAACGCGTAGCAGAGGACGAAAGAGCGAAAAAGGAAAGGAGCTCCAGCCCATTTAAAGAGACGATTCTGAGAATTCAATTTGCGATGAGCAGAACTAAACGCACAAAAGAAAAATATGCGGGTATGACCATCCACCGTAAGTTTTATTCAACTTGCACTGTGGACGGCAGATGTTCTCGTCGTTCGTGACGTTTTATAGGTTCTAGTTCCTACAAGATAATAATTAGCTTTGGTCTTCGAGAACCGTCTGACACGTGGCACTTTTTAAAAGCCTCAGGAAACTTCTAGACAGTGCCCCGCGCGGTAATGGTCAAGGGGAGAACGTGCTGAATAATCGGAGCCGACGCCCTAATCTTGGAACCCTGCCTAAGGTTTTATTTTATTTTATTTTTATTTAATTTAATATTGAGCAATAAATTCGAAAATATGTGCTTATATTTAAGATTAATAATTTCCTTTGAGGACCCTTTCAAATATACAGTTAATTTAGTTTTTAAAAGACTAATTTTTTAAAAGGAACATATTAATTATCATAATTAGAAGAAGCAGCATATTTATTTAAAAATTTAAAAAAGAACTAATTCGCTGAAATAATTAGCGCATTTAAAATGCGCCAAGCTTTTTGGCTCATTGTGAATCCACTAATTGTTATGTGGTATTCAGAACAAAAGAGAGAAAAATGTAAAGGTAGATAATAAAGAGGGAAAGGTGAAAGAAATTTCAGAAATAGACACAGACAAAGGTGAAGAGAGAATAACATAAGAGAGAGAGTGATATGTAATGCTACTGCTTCTCTTCCCTATATAAATTATATATAATATTTTTAATTATTAAATTATGGTTTA